GCTGGGCTCCAGCGATCCTGCTGCCTCAGCCTTCCAAGTAGCTGGAACTACAGGCGCGCGCTACCATGCCTGGCTAATTTTTTGATTTATTGTAGAGATGAGCTCTCGCCAAGTTGCCCAGATGGGTCACGAACCCGTGGGCTCAGGCAATCCACTCACCTCAGCCTCCCAAAGCACAGGATTACAGGCTGATCCACTGAGCCCGCACCTGGCTAATTTTTTTGACTGTCTATAGAGACAGAGTCTTGCTATGCTTCTCAGACTCGTATCAAACTCGTGGCTCAAGTGATCCTTCCATCAGTGTCAGCACTCTTATCCCAGGCTTACTGGTGAGGAGAGTAACTACTTCCCAACACACGGCCACAAGCCCATGAAGCTGAGGTTCAAAGCCAAGTTGTTGGCCCAGGGTCCAATTCCCGCTCACAACACAAGCTACCCAGGGTGAACCTCTACGTACCTCTTCTGGGCCTCCTGTTTGCTGCAACATGTTTCACAATAATATTTTTGTTCACTACACAGCGTTTCTGTGTTGCTGAAGTCTCTGTAGAGAAAAATATTTTCATCTTTAAAAAGGTCCAAACAACCTGGTATGCCACGTTTTAAAGCCCTCCATTACCTGTAGGGTAACTTTTTTTTTTGAGTTGGAGTCTCACTCTATCATTCAGGCTGGAGTGCAGTGGCACACTCATGGCCACCCCAGTGTCGACTTGTTAGACACCGGCGATTCTTACATCTCAGACTTCCAAGTAGCCAGAACTACAGGTGCACACTACCACACCCAGCTAATTTTTTATTTATTGTAGAGACAAGGTCTCGCCAAGTTGCCCAGGCTGGTCTCGAACCTGTGGGCTCAGGCAATCCACTTGCCTCGGCCTCCCAAAGTGCTGGGATTACAGGCTGAGCCACCGAGCCCAGCCTACCTTTTAAGTGAAAGTGGGGAAAGAAGTAATCAGAAAAACTCCCTAAGACTCGAATCTGTTTTGCTGGTAGACCACATCACTGGACATGCGCTTCTCATCGAATTATAAATTCACCAGGAGAGATCATCCAATAAGCCTTATTTAATGAGACACAGATATGAGCTGGGGTTTCCAACGGATTTGGAAAACACCTCAGGATTTAACAGAGGATGCCTATAGGTTGGAAATTAAAATTACAATAGAAAAACACTATCTATAGTAAGGACCCACCACACACAGGAGGTCAGGACCCAAAAGTCAATTGCACAACATGTGAAGTGCCATGAATGATAATCAGTGTTTCAAGATGGGACACATCAATAAGGGTATCTGATCTCAAATCTTACAAAGTGGGGACCACAGGGAGGTCCACACTTTATCTGTATGATGACCACTTGTATTCCTAATCCTGAATTGTACCCAATATCTTTAAAATAAATTAAAAAAAGAAAATCAGTGTTTCTCAGGGAGTCCACATTTTCCAAGAGTACAAAATTAAATGTAGTGAAGTTGAAACACACCTGCCCTAGGACTGAACTAAGAAAATCACAAATGATTCAATGCCCCCACCCTGCCTTGAAGGAGGATACAACCTCAGAGGCCTCCTTGTGTGAAAGAGGGGGCACCGCATCTGTCACTTGTGTACTTGCTTCATCATGAGCTTTTGCAACTTGTGGCTCCATGTTTTATATGTCATGGCTTCTCACTTTTTCCCAGCCACTGAGACTCTACTCAGCATTTCTGGGGTCCTGCTTCGGAGGCTATAAGACCACCCAGCAAACCATCGCACCCCACAGCTCCGACACATCTTCCCCTGGCATCTCCTTATTCACAGAGTGCCAGCACAACCAGGCTTTATTACACAGATGATGTGGTTTAAAGGTGTTAATGAGCTGGGTGCGGTGGCTCACACCTGCAATCCCAGCACTTTGGGAGGCAGAGGTGAGAGGATTGCCTGTACCCAGGAGTTTGTGACCAGCCTGGGCAACTTGGCAAGACCTTGTCTCTACAGTAAAAAATGTAGCCGGGCATGGTGGCACATGCCTGTGGTTCCAGCTATTTGGAAGCCTGGGCGACAGAGTGAGACTCTGATTTAAAAAAAAAAACAAAACTATAAAATCCAAGACAATGTATATAAAAACCTCAGAAAAAACTGGAGGAATGTGGCAGCATTCCTGGATGGGAAGGCTGTGATTTACTATCCATGCAGCTGTCAATCAAGTGCACACTCATGTCTATGTTGGGTTCACTTTCAATTAAAATCGTGACTTGGCCACTCAAAACAATAGTTTGAAAGTTGATATAAGAATTCCTCGTCCTCAGGGCAATCCCTTTGGGTCCCCTCCCACTGTGGGAGTTTTTCTGTCCTCTCAATAAATCCTGCTTTCAAAAAAAAAAAAAAGAAGACAGCCGGGCTCAGTGGCTCAGCCTGTAATCCTGCGCTTTGGGAGGCTGAGGTGAGTGGATTGCCTGAGCCCGCAGGTTCAAGACTCGCCTGGACAACTTGGTGAGACCTCATCTCTACAATAAATCAAAAAATTAGCCAGGTGTGGTAGCGCGTGCCTGTAGTTCCAGCTACTTGGAAGGCTGAGGCAGAAGGATCGCCAGAGCCCAGCAGGTCGAGGTTGCGATGGCCGAGAGCGGCCACTGCACTCCAGTGTGAGCGACAGAGTGAGACTTCAACTCAAAAAAAAGAAGTCCTTGTCCTATTCCCCCAAGCGGCCTGAGGTAACCCGCCAGGATGGTCCACTAGAACCCCACAAAGTTGTGCAAATCCAGAGGCACCAACCTGCACGTTCACTTCAAGAACACCCGAGAAACTATCCAGGCCATAAAGGGCGTGCACATACAAAAAGCCACCGAGCATCTGAAAGACGTCACTTCACAGAAACAGTATGTGCCCTTCCGGCACTGCAACAATGAGGTTGGGAGGTGTGCCCAGGCCAGACAGGGGAGCTGGACACAGGGTTGGTGGCCCAAAAAGAGTGCTGATTTGTTGCTGCACTTGCTTAACAAGGCAGAATGTAATGCTGAGCTTAAGGGCTTGGATGCAGATTCTCTGGCACTGAGCACATCCAGGTGAACAAAGCCCTCAAGACATGCCACCGGGCATACAGGGCTCGCGGTCAGATCAATGCATATATGAGCTCCCCCTGAAAAGGAACAGATTGTCCCTAACCCAGAGGAGGAGGTTGCACAGAAGAAGCTGAAGAAACAGAAACATATGGCACAGGAATAAATTCAGCATAAAGTAAATGCAGGTAAAAGTGAAAAAAAAAATTCCTCAAGCAGCACTTCCTGTCACATTGTCACAATGCACAGAAAAATGGACATCACACAAGGGGCAAACTGGCGACTGAGGAGGCTGCTCCCAGGGTACCCAGGGATCTGGCAGCGCTGGCCTTCCAGTCTCAGAAACTGCAGGGAGCCCCTCGCCCGTGCTCTGTGTTCCTGGGTGCCAGTTGCCAGGAGCTCACCAGAGTCTAGCACAGAAGCTGCCTCAGGCTGCTTGCCAGAGTCTAGCTCAGCCCCGATCATGTGACAGCTCAGGCCCCGCCTTCTGAAGTTAAACACTGTCTCACTTCCCGCACTGCATCCACCACACAAAACCCCTCCAGTGAGGAGGTGGCAGACATCTTGCAGTCAAATCCCACAATTCCACCTTACCTTACAACATTTTTAAGTCATCAAAATAAATGAAAGAAACATCAAATCAGAAGAGACATGTGGACATAATGGTAAAGAAGAAAATTAATAATTCTAGCTTAAAAAACAAATCTTCCCAGCCTGGACAACTTGGCGAGACCTCACCTCTATAATAAATCAAAAAATTAGCCAGGTGTGGTGGTGCATGCCTGTAGGCTGAGGTGGAAGGATCACCTGAATCCTGCAGGTCAAGGCTGCAGTGGCCATGAGCGTGCCACTGCACTCAAGCCTGGGTGACAAAGTGAGACATCAACTCAAATAACAACAACAAAAACCACCCAAATCCTCAAGCATGTAATCCTGGCCGTGGCTCACGCCTGTAATCCTAGCACTTTGGGAGGCTGGGGCAGGAGGATCGCTTAGGAGTCAAGGAGTTTGAGACTATAAGCCTGAACAACATAGCAAAACTCTGTCTCTACAAAAAAATCCAAAAAATTAGCCATGCGTGGAGGCACATGCCCATAAGTCCCAGCTACTCAGGAGGCTGAGGCGGAAGGATCACCTGAGCCCAGGAGGTCAAGGCTAAAGTAAGCTGTGATTGTGCCACTGTACTCCAGCCTGGAAGACAGAGTGAGACCCCAATTCAATAAATAAATAAATAGGGCCAGGCACAGTGGCTCAAGCCTGTAATCCCAGGACTTTGGGAGGCCGAGGCGACAGGATTGCCTGAGACTAGGGGTTCGAGACCAGTCTGGGCAACATGGTGAGACCTCGTCTCTACAATAAATCAAAAAAAATTTGCCAGGCATGTTAGCACGTGCCTGTAGTTCCAGCTACTTGGAAGGCTCAGGCAGAAGGTTCGCCTGAGCCCAGCAGGTCAGGGCTGCTGTAAGCCCTAATCAAGCCACTGCACTCCAGCCTGGGTGATGGCAGGCACCTTTGCATTTACTAACTGTGTGTGTGTGTTTGTGTGTTTGTGTGTGTGTGTGTGTGTGTGTGTGTGTGAGAGAGAGAATCTGTGAGAGTGTGCGTTTGAATGTGTTAGTGTGAGTGTATGTGAGAGAGGAAGACACCCGACCGAGGAAAGCCCAGCATGTACTCGTGTTCAGGACCAAGTCTTTATTTTAACTGCCCTGGCCAGCGCCCTCCCCTTACCCTCCCTCTCATCAGTGGGACCCGCTCCAGCCACTGCACACTTGTGTCCAGTCTCTCTCAAGAAGGAAGCATTGGACACGGGAGGATCACATTGGTGTAAGGAGAGGAGACGGCTTCCCAAGGAGGCATGGAGTCCCTGCTGCTGCTGGCAGATGGGAAGCAGGAGTCCCCTGGTACCTGAGACAGTGGGTAATGGAGGTGTTCTGCTCCACGTCAACAGAGAGGTCCAGGAAGTCCTCATCTTTACTGCTCACCTGAAGTAAAACAAGGAGGAAGTGTCTTAGGTGCAAAATATACAGCAGACATGGCGGATGCAACTGGGGACGTGTACAGGAGTCACAAAGCCGTACACACAACCACTCATGGACACGTAAACTCACCAGCGCCCAGTACATCTTGAGACAGCTAGACCTAGAGGAAAACCCCAGATTCCTGCCTCAGCCTCTTCCCTACCCCAGTCCTGATTCATAGCTCTTCTTATGTTTGTTTTATTTTGCTTTGCCTCTTTGTTGCCCAGGCTGGAGTGCAGTGCTCCAATCACAGCTCACTGCAGCCTCAGACTCCTGGGCTCAAGATATCCTTCCACCTCAGCCTCCTGAGTCGCTGGGACTAATGTGCATGCCACCACGCCCAACAAATTTCCGCACTTTTTTTTTAACAGATGGAGGTCTCACTATGTTGCTCAGGCTGGTCTCCAACTCCTGTCCCCAAGTGATCCTCACACCTTAGCATCCCCAAGTGCTGGGATTTACAGGCATGAGTCTGCATGCACAGCCACAACATTTTAACCATTAGAACCGAACCCGATTTCTGTCCATTCATTTCCCCTGTGGTTTCTAGGTACGAAGCACCCAATATCCACAAAGCCCAGGCTGACCCGGTGGTAAAAATGGAAATGGAGAAAGGACAAGGACTTGGAAACGCTGCCCCCAGAGGGCCACCCCTTCATGGGCATCCTCACTTTCTGCCAGTCCTTGGAGTACCCAACTTCCCGATCCCCTTCATTCCAGCTGTGTGTGGGGCCAGGGTCAGCTGCACAGTGGGCTGGAGTCTTGCTGACGACATGTCAAGCCGTCCTCTGGCCTGAAGTGGCCACATGTGCATGCCTTGTGCTGGGGGCGACAAGCAGACCCAGGACTGCCTCAGCATCCTCTGGATAGCGCTCAGGAGCAAGCTCAGCAGACCCACTAACCCTGGCCTTCCATGGGACACGCCACATGGCTCCAGGTCGTGTCCCTGTCAAGGCTCACGAGAAAGTGCACAAACATCTCACATGTTCCACGACCCACCTGTGGCTCCACTGCCTTGCTCCTGGAACAGGAGGGCAGGCAGCAACCCCGAGGAGCTCGTCAGGGGGCAGCAAAGTGAAAACGGCTCTCCTTTAAGAGGGTGACATCTACCCTGTGGCCCCAAATTCCAAAAATCATCTAAAGAAATATTCAGAGATGTGGGCTGGGCATGTGGCTCACGCCTGTGATCCCAGCACTTTGGGAGGCCAAGACAAGAGGATTGCCTGAGCCCAGGGGTTCAAGACCAGCCTGCACAACTTGGCAAGACCTCGTCTCTACAACAAATCAAAAAATTAGCTGGACATGGTGGCGTGCACCTGTAGTTCCAGCTACTTGGAAGGCTGAGGCAGAAGGATCACCTGAGCCCAGCAAATCAAGGCTGGGGTGGCTTTGAGCATGCCACTGCACTCCACCCTGGGCAACAGAGCAAGACTCTTACTGACGAAAAAAAAAAAAAAAAAGAGAGTGACATCTATACTGTGGCCCCAAATTCCAGAAATCATCTAAAGAAATATTCAGAGATGTGAGCTAAGCGCGGTGGCTCATCTGAGATCCCAGCACTTTGGGAGGCTGAGGAGGGAGGATTGCTTGAGCCCAGGAGTGTGAGAACAGCCCGGGCAACATAGCAACCTTGTCTCTGCAAAAAAAGAAAATAATAATAATTAGCTGGATATGGTGAGGCACACCTGTAGTCCAGCTGTTTGGGAGGCCTGAGCCCAGGAGGTCGAGGCTTCAGTAGCTGTTATCATGCCACTGCACTCCAGCCTAGGCAACCCCCCCACCCAAAAATGCAGAGATGTGGATGTTCTTTTACCTGTTCAGAAATACACACAGGAATATGGACTGAGACATAAATGGGGGCAGCCCAGATCCACCCCCACTTCCCCCATCAAGCAGATGACTGTTTCTCAGTCTCCTCATCTGTGAAGCCAGGACAGGAAGCTTTAGAAGGAAGCTCTCAGATCAGGGAAGGGCAAGACGTTTAGACGGCTTACGATGGTCAGAAAGCCAGGAAATGTGAGAGCAAGAAAAGCATGATGTGTCTCATATTAAACGAGGGAGTAGGCTACAGTTACACAGAAGTTATTCCAAGAAAATTAGCCAAGTGTGGGGGGGCACACCTGCAACTCCAGCTACTGGGGAGGCTGAAGTGGGAGGACTGCTTGAACCCAGGAGGTCAAGGCCACGAAGGGCTCTTGCACAGCAATGCGTCTGTATGTCCACACATGCCCACTTCCACCACGCTGCTTTGGTGCTTCACGCACATGCCCTGCTGTGGGAGGAGGAGGAGGTGGCCCCACATACTGAAACTGCCTCCTGCTGGATGACTCTACTGAGCCCCTTTCTTTGAGACTCTGTGCCGCCCCATGGCTGGCATTGCCAGGGGTGCTGTGAGGCAGGCTACTGGCAGAGGCCGAGCAATCACTTGGAGAGCCACCCCTGGCGTCAGGGTGAGCCCAGGTGGGCCTCCGTGCCCAGGAGCAGGAGGGATGCTGTCCTAACTCAGGTACCCTGGCCGCTGTGCCCCAATGCCCAGGCGAAAGTAAAGCCCCCAGCATCCTGCATCACAGGTAGCCAGCTGCCCCACAGACACACACGCTCTGAGTCCAGCCTGGGTCAGCCAGTCTGTGGCCAACACACACCAGCTCAAGTCAGAGTGAGACACAATTGTCTCAGGCTCAGTCCCAGGATGGGTGCAACAAAGCAGGGGGAACTGGACAACCATCGTGTCCATTCTATTTTTTTTTTTAATCAACCATCTGCTTCCATCTTACTAAATGGAAATTTAAAAGACTAGCCTCTGGGCCCTGATCACCAGTCATGTGAGCACGAGGGTGGCTTCAGTAGACACTGGACCCTGAGGGGAGGGAGCATGAGGCAACACACTGGGAACCAAGTCCACCGAGGGAGGGCAGGCTGCTTGGAGCCCACACTCACTGCGCATGACTCCTATATGTAGCAGATCCCTACTTGCATCCACAACTCTCAAGCAAGCAAAGATGGTCTTTGCGACGACTGAGATCCCAGTGTACTAACATTCCTCCAGAAAACGGCTCCAGAAAACTGTCAGCCCAGATAATCAATCACCAACAGCAGTGGCCACCTGACAGCATTGGGGCACCCACACTAACAGGCAGGCAGGGCCACATGCAAGACATATTTCCACACCTCCCAATGGGGTACATGGGGGACACTCAGTCCTGCTGGTCTTCAAGCCACAAGACTGAACCTGGGAGGCCAGGCAGAATCTGAGAGGGTTTCCCCAATTCTGTGCACTCTGGTCGAACCCAAGCCACACCCACGGCAGCTCGGTTGGACAGAGGGGCTGACCCACAAGTACAGTGGCCACCCAGGAACACAATCTAGTTTGCGTCTGACTGAGATAACCACCAGTAAAAACTGAAGAAATGCAGCACTTTGAAGAATGCAAAGTCAATGTCCTGGAGGAGACCCCCACTTACAACATGTGACAGTGTCTTATTTAAGACATCCTTTTTTTTTTTTAGTTGGAGTCTCACTCTGTCACCCAGCCTGAAGTGCCATGGCACACACACAGCCACCCCAGCATCAACCCACTGGGCTCTGGAGATCCTTCCATCTCAGCCTTCCAAGTACCCAGAACTACAGGCATGTACTACCTTGACTAGCTATTTTTTTTGTTTTTTGAGTTGGAGTCTCACTCTGTCACCCAGACTGGAGTGTACCGCAGCCTCGACCTGCGGGGATCCAGTGATCCTTCCGCCTCAGCCTTCCGAGTAGCCGGAATTACAGGCACACACTACCACGCCCAGCTGATTTTTTGATTTATTGTAGAGATGAGGTCTCGCAAAGTTTCCCAGGCGGGTCTCGAACCCGTGGGCTCAGGCAATCCACTCACCTCAGCCTCCCAAAGTGCAGGATTACAGGCTGAGCCACCAAGCCCGGCTAAGACATTCTTAAATGAAAATAAACTGAGACCAGTCCTGGGATGGGCCCGCTATTGGAATGAACAGATGAGGATTTTAAGGACACTATTATAACAACTGAGTAAAGTCAAAGAAAATACACTCATGAGGAATCAAGAAATAGGAAATCTCAGCAGAGAAACAGAAATAAAAAAGAATCAAGCAGAAATTCCAGAACTGAAAAATACAACATACTGAATGATTTCAACAGCAGTGTGGAGATAACAGAGGTATAAACAAGGGGACTTGAAGACAGATCAATGGAGATTATCTAAGGAGAGAACTAAAGACAAAAGAAGGAAGCAAACATTAACAGACACTTGAGACCTTTCAGAGGGAATAGTGCATGCCATCAGAGTCTTGGAAGAAAAGCAGAGAGAGCAGGGCAGAAAAACCATTTGAAAAATAATGACTGAGGCCGGGCACAGAGGTTCATACCTGTCATCCCAGCCAGCACTTTGGGAGGCTGAGGCAGGAGGATTGCTTGAGCCCAGGAGTTCAAAAGTAGCCTCAGTAACATAGTGAGAACTCATCTCTACAAAAATTTAAAAATTAGCCAGGCATGGTGGCCCATGCCCTTAGTCCCAGCTACCTGGGAAACTGAGGCAGAAGGATGACCTGACCCAGGAGGTTGAGGCTGCAGTGAGCTGTGATTGTGCCACTGCACTCCAGTCTGGGACAGAGACTCCAACTCAAGAAAAGAAAAGAAAAGAAAAGTAAAGTTAAGCTCAGAGGAGGAAGTCCACAAAGACATATAAGACCTGAGTACCTTCGTTGACCACTAGACCCATCTGACAGTCAAGGAATACTGCACTCAGCAACTGCCAAGCACACACAACTCCTTGCTTCTCAACAGGGGACACATCTAGAAACACTTTTCACTGTTGCCTCTTGGGAGATGCTACCAGCATCTAGTGGGTAGAAACCAGAGATGCTGCAAAACATCCCATAATGCACAGGGTGTTCAGTGCCCCACAACAAAGAACTATCTGATCCAAGATGTCCATAGTTCCAGGGCTG